GAAGTTAATAATGGCACCATAGATCCCAATTCCCATCACAACAAAAACAACCATAGCGAGCAAGGAGTGGAGGAGTATCTCCCATACAGGCCAGGGCAAGTTTTGCTGTCTCTTTGCCTTCATGTAGCAAGCTATGGGAAGGAGAGTTGTAACCTGCGTCGAACAGAAAGCACCTATGAGGCTGACAATACTGCTGACCTTGGGAATCAGAATGGCGAGACCTCCTTCGAGGATCACAAGAGAAGTTCGACAAATAAGCGCCGCAATTTTGCACCGACCAACGAACCACCCCTTCCTTTCACCGATGTGGGAACACATTGCGTCGATTTGTTTGGCTGTCGGTGTGAAACAGACCAGATAGTGGGGCACCATGACTGCAAGAATCGCAATATTGATGAGCCACCCGAATACGTCGAGTGTCTGTCCAGGTGGGGAAATTGCATTCACAATTGTATCGACTGTCGTTAGAAATCGACCATAACCTGCGTATGCAAGCTCCATTACAGATGAATATAATAATGTGCTGATGATGGTGGCGGCCACCACCGCTTTGGGAAAATTCCCAGGCTTCGTCATATGGTAGCAGATGGTGGGTGTCGCCCCGGTGAAACTATAGACGAAAAAGTAAGAGCCCAAAGAGGCTATGAACTCCACAACATCGCTGGGCACGACTGCGAGGTTTGCAGGAATGCCATCAGAGGCCATTCTGTCAGCCGATGCAACAATAATAATAATCACCATCGCAGAAGCAGACGTTACACCCAAGACCGCGATGAAGCCAACGTCTCTAAGCTCCTTTATCCACGAGAAAGGTATATTCACAAGCGTCCACAGCGCGATCCAAACACGCCTATCGAGGACTCGAGTCATAGCCGCAGTGGTGTTTCCCATCAAAATAAGCATCGCGACACAGACCGAGATGAGTCCGGCGTGGACGATGATCCCGCTATAGATCGACGCTCCGATGCCGTAGGTGTATCGCATCACATTTTCATAAGACCTAGCTACTCTACCTTCGCCCTCGGCGGTGAGGTACAGAGTACGCCACAAAATTATGTTGCTGTAGAGGCTCGCGAGTGCGGCAAAACTTAGACCAAGCAGGGCAGCGATCCAACCGGAGTTAGCGGCCGTACGCGGCAGTGCCAAGATCCCAACTCCGACACAGCCCATGACAATCGTACTAGCGGCTCTTATCCAGCCCATACCTTGCTGTGGGCTTGCTACCTTAGTAGCTGTTTTGGGGATAGCTGGCATATGATGGAGAAGGTGAAGACTACGCAGGTACAACTCAAGAGCTCGAGACTCCGAAGCGAGGAAACCTCTCCAGATTACTGAGCCTTAACACGGTATGGTATGAGTGGCTTGGGAGGCGGTTCCGAGAGGCAACCACGAACGCGTGCGCATTCACGTAAGCACGAACTTCGTGCCATGTTAGTTGGGTTGGTTTGGCCAAGTTTGGCCAAACTGGGCAGTTTGGTTGGGCCAAATCAAGGCTGCCTTAATTTGGCCTCTACTCCGATGCCTATTACTAGGTTACGGTCGTGTCGATCGTCTCCAAATCTTACGGCTCCTTATTGGGAACGAGGCCCCGATGGTGGACAAGAGCCGATCCAGTGATCCAGCTCTCGCTCATATCGAGCTCTCTCCCTCCCACCTTCGCCGGTCCCTGGCATACCAGAACTTGGAGTTTGATTGTGATTTGGTCAGTGTCTTTGCTGAGGACGCCATGATCGAAGAAGCCCTAGTGTCCAATATAGATGGGCAGAATTACGTTACGGGCCGTTACGGCTCACTTTTACGATTGCGCTTCAAGCCCCGTACCGTGAAATTACGGCGCCGTAACGGGTCTTACGGAGATGCAGCGGACAAAACGAGAATTGACCATTCAAGTCGCCTAAATCTATTTCATGTGAATGCAAATCCGTGGATGAGGCCGGCTTGGCAGTTCCGGGCCAGCCTAGGAGTGAGACGGACGGAATTTGCAAAGGAGACGAGTGGCAAATGCGAAACCAAATGTTACTCTCTCAGCGGTTCGGTTGAATCCGAGCCACAGGAAATGAGTTTAACAACTATTTGAGCTATCGTGGAGTGCATTACAGCGAATCTTTCCGCCACATTGTGGCGGCCACAATTCTAAAATAGCAGTTCAGCACAAACCGTGAAGTCGTAAGGCCTTTCCGTAACCAAACTGCTTACGTTACGTACGCCGTAACGTAAACCGTGAAAAGAAACGTTGCGCTGCCCATCTATAGTGTCCAACGAGATCCACCCGACTCTGACAACAAAGGCACCTTGCCAGCTGAGGTACTACAGTTAGATTCTGTCAGAGAAGGCCACATCGTCGTGGGTTTCGCTTATAGAGATGGTCATCGTGACTACGGAGTCAGAGCTGGGAGACAAGTTGACAACACGGTGTACCGTAGACCGTGTAAGGCCTGCCGCACACCGTACACCGTGTACGGTGCGCGGCAGGCTTACACCGCACAAGGTTGTGCGGAATCTTATTCATTGATAGCGTTTTAGGCGAAGTACGCGAGCTGATCGATGTTGTTAGAGCAGGAGGACCCCGGAATGAAGGGGACTTCTGAGGATCTTTCCTTTCGGTAGCATCGGGATATGTTTGAACTTCGATAGCGAGTCGTAAACATCTTCTGATGACTAACTCATCAATGATGAGTCATCATCTAGCGCCGATGCCACTGGCATCATGCCAGTGTTGGGTTGTTCACCAGTGGTGATTGGCTTGATCAAGAAGATGCTACACACTGGTTTGTATCGCTCGAGCATGGAACAAAGACTGTTGCCTGTATAGCCTTATCGTTCATTCTTCCAACAATCCTCATGGTAAGCCTGCTAGCTATCCTCGCTTTGGGTGCTGTCTGGTGCACAGGAGCCTTTTCATCAGGCTCCTATTACAAGAAGCTCGTGGATAACTTTCGCATACAAATAGATGCTTTGGGTGATTTTTTCATTTGGGAATATGCCTTCTGTCCCCATTTGCCGGTTGGTGTCTACGTGGGTGTTACAGGGAGCAACCCTTATACCGTCGCACCAAGCAGTCAGAAAGATTATGACGAGTTCTTCAGGTTCTTGATTAGCCAGTGTGGGGATGCGCTGAAAGGTAAGGGTATGCACAAGTTCACCTACGACAAAGCTAATGATACTATAAAGACGACTTTTCTGAGCAGCCCTCAAGTTCTCCAAGCACTGTTGGGATCATGGTCTCTAGACAACCATTACTATCTGCGATGTCTTACTTGTCGCACCTTATTCGTCAGTCCAAATAACAACAAACTGGTGTCCTCGCTTCACCGATTCACGAGTGAAAGGCTGCCACCTTGTTGAGCCTCATTTAGCCAACAAGGCTTGTCCTTAGTGACACAAACTAGCTTGGCGTATATTCCGAAGTCGTATGTTAGCTGGAAATGAATGATCGCTTTATGAATCCTCTATAAGCGATAAGACTATTTGGAAGAAACATTCATCACAAAGTCCCAATGGAGTTGAGAGCGAAAGGTGGAGACTGAGACCATAACAACAACAGTGCGGATGATATCTTGTAGCACTAGTAGCGGCTCACGTAAGCATCATTCCAGCACTCCGAACGTGTATGCTGCAGTCAGCATAATATCATATCCCAGAACTCCGAACGTGTCCGCTGAAGCCGGCATGATATCATAGTCATCGTCCTCCAGGGTAATTACCTCGACCGTCCCATCCCTACCCAAACAGTGGGTCATATCACACAGCTGAAAGCGATCCCTCACCACGCAGTGCTCTGAGTAAGAAGAGAGTTCACCCCTCTCGGAGTCGCCTGACATGTCCTCTCGGAGACCGAAGATCGACCTGCGAAAATCAATGCCACGCGCGAAGACCACCGTCAACCATTCCCAGCACCATCTCCCAAACGCCCGAGTTCCTCCTCAGCGGCCGAAACCATTCCTTTCAGAGCTGAGGTAAGATATCATTCAATTGCGGCTGCTTCTGTCACTGACATACTCTCCGTCGCCCCCAGCAGAGCTTTCAACCCTCCCCTCAACGTTAGCTTCTCTTCGTTATCCTTTCGAACGAGTTCGAGCTCTTCCACGACTGCTTCCAGACTAACTTAGTCTACTCCTCGGCCTCATCGAGAGTCGCCTTCTTTTTCCAGTTCTCAACTTCCGCCTAAAGAGAGCGTCGACTCCCGATGCCCGACCATGAGGTAGTATCACCCTGGAAGCCGCGATGCGATCAAGGTCCGCTGACCATGAGTCGACTGCTACTAACATGATGGGATAGTTAACCCGATCCTCCTATACGAGACTCACTTCCCTTTTCAAACCGCCAAAGCTTCGCCATTACATCGTCCAGTAGATCCGGAGGGCTTGCCTCCCCAGCTGCCCTCGAGATCATGGTACTCGGAACAGGCAGCTTCTCGAGACAGTTGATCGGCTGCTTCGACACCTTGGGATTGCCGCTTCTAGAACACTTCGCCTGACTCCTATCGTCTGCTGCTCCTCTCACTCGACCTCCACTAGCAGTATTAAAGTCCTCTACCTTTTCTGTCTCAGCTTCCTGCTTACAGACCATCCTCAGCGTACTGAAAACCCCTTCCTTTGAACAAGCCTTGTAGTGCCTATATCCTTGAGATGAGCAATAGTACCTGCAGGTACTGTAAGATAGGGCATCCTGAATGGCAGCACTACCAAAAATGCACTTTTTGGGCCATGTGTGGGCACTGTTTTGGCCGACCCGTCTATGGGGGTCGTAAGGGGTGGCCGTTCTTTCATTCTTTCTCTCAGAAAGAACGGCGATTTTTCCTGGAAGAAAGAATGCCTATTTTTCCCCGGAAAAATAGGAAAAATCGAAAAATTGGACATTTTGGAGGAAATTGGGGGAAAAAATCTGGAAGAAAGGCGAAAAATGAAGAGGGAGATGTGATTGATCACTAATCAATGATTAGAGGCATAGATAGATATGTGCCGTAGTTCTGACAGAAATATAACTGAAACACTCGGGAGATTTAGACGCTCGTAACGACGGAATCGATGGATCTCGTCTTTGGATCTTAGGCGCGCAGGAGTGTCCATCAAAAAATTCGCAAGGTCATGCTTCGAAGGAAATATATCTCATGATGAGATCCACATCTCCCGACGAACTGAAGAACTCAACAGCCTCCTTGCCGGCTTGTTTTCTCCCGTGAGTGAGACGAATTACCGATCGATTCGTTCACCATGGGTCTCAAATGTCTTTCTTATAATGAAATTCGAGTCGCGCATATCAGACTCGAACGAAAGTTTTCAAGACCCGAGATCTGGACGGTGTTTCAGTCGATTCTGCATATCGGAAGGCTCTGATCGCCTTTGATTGCCGACGGCGATTTGCCGTGATGAATGGATGATATACATTATCCATCG